AATTGAATGAAAAAAAATGTCTTGTTTACACTAACCTGCATGAATTCCAGATAACAACAGTTCAACAAAGAACTGACTACCCAAGGAAGGCAGGTTACTTCTTTGTCTCTCCCACCATCGAAAATTCTTGGTTGAGCGACCTCACCAATTTCCCGCCACAAGTCCTTACTCTTCATTGAAGTACGTAAATACTTTATTGTTGGCGAATATTTTGGGTTGAGATCCACAAAGTGAGTTTGATAGTGCATACCATCTCTTTTTAGAATCGAGATTTGTACTAAAAACGCCATTTAGCTCCATCGCTTCACCAAGACAACCGCCGCCATGACGAACAAACTGCACTGATGTCCGCCAAAACTGAAGTGGATTTCATAATATCGCGCCAAATACATTTTATTGACTAAATAAGGACTCGGGGTATTATGTTTCTGATAACGATGATAGATACACACCTTTCATTCAGGAAGCGTGTTGAAAAAATGAATTAACGTCTAATTGGATTATTAGTAGTCAACGCATATTTTCAAAGATCCCTGTGGCGCATTCCTGAACTGGCCTAAGCTCGTCATGTCAGTCCCTTAAGTTGAGGAAGATTCCTTTGGGTTTTGTCATTGTTTTAGCTATTGATGGGTGCRGCAATGATAGGCCTAATAAGGGTGTGTATAGGGATTGTCCCTCCTTGGGTTGTTTTAAGATACACTGTGGTTGCATCATGATCCTCATCAGGGGTTGYGTTCCCACCAAAGGTAGATCGAGAGATGTTTTCTTGCCCTTCTATCTTAAGATTTAAGTGRTTCGCAAATGTTGTGTTTATAAAGGATCATTGGGAACCTTCATCAAACAGAATGTTTGCAGAGACGTCGCTGTTCCATCCCTTGACATATGCTATGACGGTTTTAAGAAGAATACCGGTGCGTTTGGCGCCAGAATRCAACAACGAAACAGATGACAAGTCAGTGTTCTTTAATAATAGTGAACTCGTAACATTGTTGGCATTTGGAACAGATTTCTTAAGATCTTGAGGGTTAGAATTTGATTCATTACYCTGGMAAAGGCTGGTATGGTGTTTGCAATTGTTACAGATTCACACTCTTGGGGGTTGTATTGTCCCGCTTCTAGAATTTCAACTTMATTCAATAGTGYCTTTGGCAATTCTTCAATTTGCCACTCCTTATTCGCATTTTGTCGGGCAARGTTTTTCTTTACTTCATTGGGAAGTTTTCTCTGAATTATAGGCACGAGAATATCGCCGTATATACTAGAAGATTTTCCTAGCRCATCTAAACCACATACGTGTGTTTCAGTGTTATCATAAAATGATCTTAAGCTTGATAGGCGATTTGTTGGCCCTGGTAGGTTTRAGAGGGCCTCCATATGTGCATTAATAATCTTATTTGTTTGGCCAAATCTTTCCTTTAGTAGCTTTACMCTTTTGGCATAGGCCCGGGTCGCACTAGCGGATAAAAATAATTTTTGAAGAAAAATGTGACACCAAAAATTTGAAACCCACAACGGAAGTTCAAATATTTTATTAAGGTCGCACTAAAAAATGTAATAAAGGATTAAACGTAAGCGGAAATTTGAGCTCAATCATGTTTCGCGCGCTTTTTTTGACTCAACTTAGCGATCAACAACATGGATGCAAATCAAGCTTTCTGTTTCACTGTGGCTCTGATGCTTTTTATCAGTATGAATATACAACARCAACAAATGTTTGCATTTTTCACTTTACATCAAAGATGGATGACCAACCGTTTACTTGCTYGGTTGGCTCTCGCGAGAATAAATCGACGTCGTCTACGTAGAATACGTGCTCAACMGTATGCCTGGATTCTTCCTCGACCAAATGKTTCATGGTTTGAAATACAATACAACAATGCTAATATTCCCGATGATTACTTTMGACAGCAGTTACGAGTGAATAGAAATACATTCAATATAATACTCAATATACTTGATGGAGGATTAAACAGGCAGAACTCAAAATTCAGAAATTGTTTACGGCCTGAAAAAATACTAGCTTTAGGACTATACAGATTAGCTCATGGAAACTCGACGTATTCTACTATTGGTCCAGTTTTCAATGTCGGAAAATCTACTGTAATTGAAGCAGTACAAGATGTTGTGGAGGCCCTTTATGAAATTCGTCAGCAGCACATAAAATTACCCCAAACGGTCGCAGAAATCGAGAATGAAACGCAAAACTTCTCGGACTTGACCGATTTACCAAACGTTGTTGTAACTATTGACGGGTCACATGTCCGAATAAAAGCACCAATTGAAGATGCTGATTATTTTAGCAGATATCAGCAACATGACTTCGTGATTCAAGCAATTTCAAACAGCAAAAAGTTATTTCTCGATTTTGCCTRTGGATTTCCTGGCAGTATGCACGATGCTAGAGTGCTTAGGCGAAGCAATGTATTTAACTTGGCAGAGCAAGGGAATTTTCTTACTCTACCAACAGTTGATATCAATGGTTACAATGTCTAGTTGGAGATAGTGCTTATCCGCTTTGCCCTTGGCTTATTAAACCATACCCAGAGGGAAGATGAGACCCAGCAGAGATAAGATTTAATAAAGAGTTATCCTCGGCACGTGTTGTTATTGAGTGTGCGTTCGGCATGCTTAAAAATCGATGGCGTATTCTCCAAAACGTTTTGACAGTA